GCAGATTACACTAATAAAGGGGTTAATGGGTGTGCACCAGGTTAAGACTGTAATTGAACATTAAAAGCAAGTTACATGTCCATACCCTGCCATACAGGAACAGTTCAGGGTAAGGATGTACCGAGTCTTTGTAGACGTACTGACTTAATGCCCACTCTCTGACTGGGAGCACATCAGCCTCAAAACAAAGAACTCAGTCCCAGAGTGGAAGTATTTCACATGTCCACATAATTGTATGTATTTATAGATCTATATGCTATGTTTTTTTTGTTTTTAATAATTTGTTTTTGCCTTACAACCAAGTAAAAAAAGTGTATTTTAAAAACAGTTAAAAGCATCATGGAGAGAGGAGAGTGTGGTTATGATGTTAGTGAGTGGGCTTGTCAGAACAGATGAGTTTTGAGGGTGGATTTGGAGAAGCTCTCTTCCACATGGTGAAAAGGCGGGCAGGAGGGACCAAGAGCTGGAGAGAGGGCAGGGCAAGAGCTGGAGAGGATAGGAGGAGCGGAGGGAGCGGGCAGGTGTGGAGATCTGGAGGAGGTCAGTCATGTATAAACACTGTATGTCTGGATGAGGAAGTTATAGATATTAGGCCAGGTAACAGACAGCCATTTACTCCTATCTACAACCCACTGTTCTGTGAGAATAAGTGCTATTATATGTTTATTTGATAGGCACAGAACTAAAAGTATTGATACAGGTGGCCGATGCCATGTTCATAGGCTGTATAGCTAGCACTTAATTTGCAGACCTGGTCCCTAAGACATGAAAATACATCACATTTATATAGATTATTTTAAAACCACAGTTTTACATCTTGCTGGTCTGCAATGTGTGGTGCTGGTGCCCATCGCAGAGATAACCTGCAAGATCAGAACTAAACAGAGTTTCTGTGTGATTTTAGGAATCTTAACCATCCTAAATTAGCAAACACAGTACAGGTACAGTAGCCAAATATCGTAAAATTAATGGCCTTAACAGGTTAGCCCCGATTTGAGCTACTTAACTAAGTTAATTTTGATAAGATATCATGAAGCCAATGGAACGTACTATTTAGCAAGTTTCACAGATTTGTTTAATCATTCAGCTAGTTACCTCATTTGTTTCAAAACTTTATGTACAGGTTATGGACTGACAAAATTCATTGCTAGCTAGCATGGGCTCATTAGGTAAGCCGCTATAATTATGTAAATAATAAGCAAACAAAAAATCAAAGACATAGTTTTATTCACCTTTGATAGCAGTAGATAATCCTGACATGACAAAGCATTCAGTGTGAACAACGTACAGTGGTGGTGAAGGTCCCGAGGTGTAGCTTAGCTGGCTAGCCTAGGCATATGACGTTATCACGAGAGCATATTTCACACGATCTAAACATGACCTGGTGTAATTAGGGTGTCCACAAGAGTGCACATACCACGTGAAAGCCTATAATAGCCAGCCCAGTTGAAAAAATGTGATCAATCATACGATGTAGAGTTCGAACGAGACTTGAATTTTGAATGGTGTGTGTTTTGGTTTTGTGATGACGTAACATTCGGTCCCTCCAGCCAATGGGCGCGCTGAGCCCGCCCCTCCAAAAAGGGGTCAGATGAAAAATGTATCGTAACCGTAAGTTTTGACTCGTAAGCGTAGCTTGTGAATCGTAAACGTAACTAGTGAATCGTAAACGTAACTTTTGAAGCGGAACATGAAAAATCAGAACCGTAAATGTAAGTTTTAATTTTTTTCATTTACAATATATTTTTAATGTTTACAATACTACAACCTACGATTACAATTCCTGCTTTACGGTTACGCTACAGTTTTTTCGTTTACAATATTTTTTTTATGTTTACAATACTTACAACCTACGTTTACAATTCCTGCTTTACGGTTACGTTTAAGCAGACCCTATTTTGACGCCATACATTTGCAATTGTTTTTTACATGGAATTACTCCAATGACCAAAGCCTTATCCCAAGTTTCTCAGACGGAGTGTCTTCCAGTGTCTCGAGCTAGTGCAGTGCCAAGGTTTGTATCACATGGTGATGGATCGAGTGGTTTGAGGCATTAATAGAAAGTTATGTGTTGTTATATCACTTTGCCACATTATGTTGAAACTAAACATGTTCCACATTTTCAGGTGCTGTGCTTGGACCTTGTGATGAGAGACTGAAGACCAAGAGAGGACACATGCTGGAACCTCAACATTCAATAAATGCATTATTCTGCCTTTCAGATTGTGTTTTTACATCTGGGGAACCTAGAGTGTAGCTTGTGCCTGTTTTAATACTGATCCAAACATAGGCGCTACAATCATGTTTTTTTTACTTTGGCATGAACTGTTCAGTACAGTAGTGTTCATAACACTGTGTCCTGTGTGGTTTAACTTGTACTTTGATGTAGAGAAACATGATTTTTAATGCAGCTCCATTTGCAATAATGACTGATATCCTTCTACTACAGTTGTTCTAATGATTTTTGAATGCTGTGTTTATCGTTTATTGGCCAGAGTCAGAACTAAACATGATAAAGCTGCATTTCAGATTCACAAGGCTAAAATCTGGAACGGTCTTCCTGGAAATGTGAGACAGGCTTCTTCTTTGACAATGTTAAAATCCAGGTTTAAAACACTTCTGTTTCTGCTTCAACTGAGAGATTTTATGAGATTTTATTTGTATCTTTTGAATTAACTGTCAATATTTATAATTGTAATGCCTTGTTTGATTGTTTCTATCTTTTGTTCAGTGCTTTGAGTTTCCTTTTGTTTTGACTGTGCTATACAAATAAACTTGCCTTGCCTATTGCAAAAAGTATGTCTCGACCAGTGAGTGATTCTGCAGAGCTTAAGTAGGTCAATAGGACTGTAAATGGACGTCATATAAACGTCAATATTTTGGTCATATAAGACGTCGAGAGGACGTCGGACCCGACCGGTTCTGTACCACATTGCAACCTTGAATGAACGTCCAGATGACGTTGAAATGACATAGTTTTGACATCTGCTTGCTTAGTGGGAACGACTGAAAACGAACGTCATATAAACGTCAATATTTTGGTCATATGAGACGTTGATAGGACGTCAGACCCGACCGGTTCCGTACCACATTCAAACCTTGAATTGACGTGCCATCAACGTAACATTTGGAGGTTGAGGTGACGTCGGGAAACGACGTCGAGAAAACTTTCATTCTGCACCCACCAGTGACCTATATTCTACGTCGGACAACGACGTTCAAATTACGTTGATTCAACGTCGGCTTGCTTAGTGGGAAGCCATAGGAGTCATAAAGTCATGTGAAATACTATCTTGTAAACACTAGCTGACAGGGTAATCCATTTTGTGTGTGTCTCCACCCAAAGCACTGTGGTAGTTAAACATGTAATGTGACGTTAGCGGTTTCTGGAGGCTAACTTGGGCTGTCAACAGGCCTGCAGTGATAATCTACAGTACTGGCTCAGACTTGTGCTGGTCCAAATGAGGTGTCAGTGGGATCCAATGGTTAAATGGTGCTATATATCACTCTGATCCTAAAGACAAACAGTAATCAATCGTACAATAAATGTTGCTTCAATATGATTTCAAACCCAGTGTCTGTTGACATCGACAGGCTGTTTATCACACAAAGTCAATACGTTGGTAATAGAGAACAGTTTTATAGGAGGGGAACATTGCGGATGCTTTGCACGTGACTTATTATTTATTAGCACTGGAGTCTTCTTTTGGGCCTTATGTGAACATGGCAGCCCGTTTATGCCAGATGACAATGGCTAAGCAAAGGAGAAAGACAAGAATAGTATTGTATAAGATGTAGGCTATTCTTACGATCAAAGAAAAGCATGCTCAATAGCAGAGACACAGTGTATTTATGCAGTTATTGAAAGCCAAGATCCAGTCAGACGTTAAACGTGTTTGGTACACAGTATTTCTCCTATAAGAACATTTCATGAGAATGTGATCCATCTTTTATTGTGCTGCATCCGCTTTGGCGTGGCAAGTCATTGAGTGACTGTACATACTGTACTTTTAATTCCTTTTTCTCCTTTTTTCTGCAGATATCTGCTTTTCTGCATTTCTATGATTTGTCCAGTACATTTCTCCCTTTTACATTTGTTTCAATACAAACTTCTTTTGCTTTCTATATTTCTAGTATTTCTTTGTGCCATGATTTCCTTTATACCTTCTCCATAATAACTTTTGTATTTACATTATTTGTGGTATGTCTACCCATCTAAGTAGTTAACAGTTTCCACGTCTTTTGTAAAAACAGAGATTGTGCTTCTTTTCACACAACTCCTCCTCCTGCTGCACTGTGATGTCACCGCCTGAATTTGCAACTGCATACTCAAGATGAGAAAATGGCTGCAAATCATAGTTACTGGGATTTCAGAAAGATAAATGTTGTGCTGCCTAATGGTGTCAAAGCAGCACGAACACTATGAGATGGTAAAAACAAGTTTGACAGAACCGGATTTGGAATAAGACAAAACTGGTCTGTGAAGGTCCACTATGGTACACATAAAAAGCCAGAAAAGGGTTTCAGGTACAAGCCTTAGACTAGGAATACAGTTGTTCCGTTTGAATATTACTCTTCATCGCTTATCAGTTTGGGTATGTTTTGGACGAGATTTGGTTGTTTGGAAATGGAAACACTCCATACTCGCTGTGTATGTTTCACTCCAGATGAGAAAAAACTTGAAACATACACACATGAGATGTCTTCAGTTCACCCTCCCTCTCTTTCTATCAACTCTCTGCCTCAATCATAAAACAATATCAACTATTCATCTTTTCACATTCTTCACAAACTGTTTTGGAAAGTTAACTACAATTCAACTAAAATGTGTGGGACTAAAAGATGTTCTCTGTATTTCAAGCTGTCCCAAGGTTAGAACCTAAAATGTCTGTATTGTGTTTGGTCAAGGATGAATTTTCAGAGAATGACCTGAGCAATCAAACCCAACAGAGAAACAGTGAAAACACACTTTGAAAGCCGTTCAAATTGGTTAAGATTACCTTTTCTGAATATCCACAATGTTTCAGATTTCAGTAGTGATGGGTCGTCAATGACAGCTGTGGACAAAAACAATAATAGTTACAGAGAAATCCAACAAAATCCTGCATTTAAAATTGTTCTGAATGAAAAAGACAAGTTTAACACCAATTAGTTTGACAAGTGTGCGTCTATGAGTTCATGGCCTGTACTCATTACAAAAAAGTTTTCATAAGACCAGCTGCATCCTTTAGCAAAACAAAAAAGCCATTATTATCTTTCTTAAAAAAACATGTGATTTTAAGTGATTTCATGGACTTTTGATGACAAAATGGTAATAAAAAGAGATAAATATTCGAAACAGCAAAAGTCAAAACAGAGTTAATGTGAGAGACTGAAACCAACGTAATCGTTTTATACCACAGACACCTACGCTGACCTTTACCTTCAATTCAACACAGAAAATCACTTGAAATAAAACAATACGAAACCCACCCAAAGCACCAAAAGGTTGATGTTAAAATGCTCTCAATTGCAGTGAGAGGCGATGTGTGAAACAGCTAAGCGCGGTCCTGTAAAACGATGACCCTTGAATGGACGCTCCGAGTGACACACTGCGGCTCAAAGTGGGTAGTAGCTTCTGCATTTTAAATGAACATAGAAAGAATGAGGACACAGCTCTGTATGAATCCTCCTCTGAATTCAAGAACAAGTATTTTTAGCTCAAAGTCCACTATGTGTCTAAATATAACCAGAAATAAACAGTCCTTTTGAACTGCCTGCAAGCCTTGCTTTACTTTACATAAGAAAATATTACTGAGTTTGAATTTGACTCTGTCCTAACTGACCAAAAATACTTCTTTGTTTTAGTGGCCTTAACAGGACCAACAGTCTTTGCATTTATCTATTAAGTCTGAATGCAATGAATGAGTGAATGGATGGTGATGGTGATGGTTAGGGGCTTTGGGACTCTGGTATAACAACAAAAATTGCAAAGAGCTTTGTGTGTCCTTGGTCTGAGAAATGTACTGCCATATTTGTCAGATTATAAATCGCTCCAGAATATAGATCACACCAGCCGAAAATGCATAATAGAGAAGGAAAAAAACATATTTAAACCGCACAATTTTTGTATTAAGTTTTATATTTGTTTAGTATAACGTCTGGTATAGCTTGCACTTGTGTATAAATGTAGATAAATGTAGATGAGAACATAAGATTTAAAATATACATGTGTCGCTCTTCTTCTTAGCTTGATTGCTCAACTTAACAGCTACTATTTTATATTTTATGATAAATCATCTTTCATAATTTCACACACAAGTTTCTCCAGAGTAGAAGTCACACCCCCCGTTAAACTATGACAAAAACTGTGATTTATAATCCAAAAACTACGGTATATAAATAAAGATTACTTACTTACATGCTTGCCTATCCTCATCTCCATTTTTCATGTGTTATTGCAACTTAGCCATCTATTAAAAGATTTATTAAAATCTAGTTGGTGATTGTAATGAAAATATATGTGGTACAGTGAAACCAATTTCAACAAAATTTGTTATTCATGAGCTTTTGTCATAATTGCGTAGCAGAAAGGTGTATTTTTTAGTTGCTGGTTTGAGTTCAATGTTTAGAGCAAAATACATGATGTGGTTATTGTCCACAGAAGACGAGATCAAATTAAGTACAAAACATTCCACCGTGGCTCAACATTTGTCACAACCTTTTAGTGAATATCGACCCATCCATTAAAATAGGCAAAATGGGTGCGGGTGTTCTGATGAAAGTTGAGAGGTTAGTACCATGATTGTTTGTACACAAATTCATTAAAAGCCTTTTAAAGAGCCATGCGTACATCAAGGCTGATCTTCAGGGGCAGTTTATACCACATTTTTGTCTTTATTATTTCACAGTTCCTTTCAAATTGATATTGTATCAGCGAGGTCTTCTAGTCTCAATCTAATGTTTGATATGAACCTGAAAGGCACAAGATGGTCAGGGTGACAGAGACGTGCAAATGTCCTAATGTTAGATCAATAAGTCTTACATAGCCACACCAATGACAGTATGTCTTACTTGGATGTTAAAAAGAGTGTGTTTTTTTCAAATAAAAGAAAAACACTGCAAATCCTTGAGTTTTTCTTATATCACTTAAAAAATTTACGGTCTGATATTTGATTCAAGGCCACACATAGAAGCTTTCACCCTAAACTTTAATTTGAAGAACTAAAACATATGAGAGATTCTTCAGAAGCCTCAAATACTTTCTGAAATACTATGTTGGTTCCACATATTCTACACTACATGTCATGTTGGACCCAGGCGTCTGAAGCCTTGCTTCATCCCAGTCTCTTCACAAATCACTTTGAAAATTCTAATTCATTAAAAAAGGCCTCGTCTATACTAGGGCTGCACGATATATCGAAAAAATATCGTTATCGCGATAATAGTGCGTGCAATACCCATATCAAAAATATCCGCAATATAAAAAAATCTAACTTTTTTTCTTCCTTTATGACAACAAAACAGACAAATCAACATTCAACAAGAACAACAAACAAAGAAAAAAGTATATAGATTGTGCTGCGAACTGCCTTGTAGTCCCACTCACCCCCTCCTCACCGGAGGGAAATGGCGGGTGGAACTGTTCACCTGCGCAATCCGCACCCACCCGGTGTGTTAAAAAGGACGGACGCAAACACTTCAGCATGAGTTCGAGCAGGACAAGCAGCGATCACAGCGCACAATCAGTGCATGTAAAGACAAGTACTGTGCAAAACAGCCGGTAAGCGCCGTCATCATTCGCGATCATTGACTGAGAATTTACGCGTAGTTGTATATGATGCGTTCAAGAGCCTTCTGATGTAGCGGAAACGCGGACTCCCAGTGTTTTCATCTGGGCACCTCAGACAAAAACACGCATTTGTGCAGACTCTTTGTGTAAAGGTGCATTCCTCAACTGTCCTGGAGGTGACCCGCTTTTTGTAAAGTGATCCGATACTTGCGTCTTGCAACGGAGATGTTATTGCATGTGGATGCATTTAAACATGTACATTCCTCCTTGTAATTTAGGCAAGTGAAGTTGCACGCTTGTTTCTACAGCAACAGGAAAGTTAAAAGGCCAAACTGTACATCTCCAGGTAAAACAGCAACATTTAGATGAACCAGAGGACAAAGTGACCCGCCACCAGGACAGACTGAGGAAGGAACGTTTAAACATTATCTCATCCAAAATCAGATCAGAAGAACTCTAAAAACTAGCAGATATATTGAACTGACCTGAAATAGTCTCAGTATTGGTGCATTTCTAGATTACAGACCCAATGAGCAGGGAGTGCTTTGAACACAATGACCCGATCAGTGGGGCCGTTTGGCAAGAGATGAAAAACTAGTTATTTCCAGCAGTCTCCTCCTCCTCATGTATTTGTGTACATGTTTTAAGAGTGCTAATACTGGACTATGGATGCCTGGGTTTCATGCTGATAAAGCAAGTAGAGACCCCCTGTTTGAGTAGGGGGCCGACACCAGGGGGGCTCTGGACAGGGGATCAGGGCCATAAGCTGTGTGGACGGACTCGGGTGGATAACATGTCTTTAATGCCAGTGATGGAGTACCAACGTGGCGCCCGCTCCCTGGCACTGGGCCCAGGCTGCTCTGCTGGAGGACAGCTGTGTGGCCTAGATGAGAGTGTCAGCGTGACGGCACACACGGACAGAGAGACAAATAAGTATAAGTAAAAGTACAGATATGGAACAAATACTCAAGTCATCACATAAAGATCATTCTTAAAGCTGTGGTACTTTAAAACCACAAAAATTTAACTATGTCAGCAAATTCACCTCGGCCCTCGCTCTAGTTTCATATGCATGTATTTTGGCCTCTGTCACATCTTTAGATCAGTGCTTTTTAGACAGAAGAGTTAAAAAGAGACTCTGCCAATCACAGCTTTTAGCTCAAAGCTTCAAATTATGACTCACAGGGCTCTTTCTCAAAAGTATAGTAACACAGAAATGTAACATGTCGATTTTCACAGCGGAAACTTCTCTCCCGCTCACTTCCGTCAATAGAAGCAGCGTGACTTGTAGTACGTCTTTGGGAGTTAGTGCACGGACGTAGTGCTCCTCGTATTATTACGCCTCACAATATAGTACCCCTTTTTATCCTCTGAGAAAATTGACATGTTACATTTTTGTGTTACTGGACTTTGTAGTGTCACGCAACTGTATTTAAATAGGGAAAACGTGGAAGAGTTTGGTAGCTTCTAACGTGAGCTGATTTGGAACTATACAGTCTGTGGAGGAGGCTGCGTTTGTGCTCCGTTTGCATGACAGAGCGCACGGACAAAGACCAGACAGGTACAGATCAACTAGTCTAAGGTAAGGTAAGAACGTGTGTCAGTATGTAAAAACAGTGGCCTATTCCTTTAAGGCACATTCATACATTGGTCAAGTGGACTTGGTTCACTTACGAAGTGCAACGACTCTCATACTAAACTGAATTGTTTTAAAAGAAGTGAATTACTTAAAGTGATAGTCCGTAACTCTAAAAGAATTACAAATTTTAGGAAATGTGTTAAATTGACCTCCTGGCCTTAAATGTTGATATAAAATAAGTCATTTTATTAATTCTAATATTACGGGCAAGTCCCGCCTTCCCTGCTCTTAGCTATAGTTCAGAATCCACGGTGCCGTCGAGGTTAACCAATCGAGTCATGCCAAGGGCTGTCAATCATCGGCGCTGATGCTCGCAGCTGCGCGCATGTGCAGTTGTTTGTTTTCGCGGAGCCTCTATTAGGCTCTGGAACTACATGAAAACTGAACAAAGAATTCTGAACATCCGCGCTGAGGTACTTATGTATATACTGAACCTATATCCTCTAATCAGATCCTCTGCAGATGTGTCCTATAATGTGCAATTCATAATAATGAATAATGTGCATAAAAACATATTTTTTTTCATTAAAACGTTCACAAATAATGAAATATGTGTATTAATAATGTATATGTATAATATGTTCTCTGATTAACATTTCAAAGTGTTACGGAAACGTAGGTGTAGACCAATCAGAACGGAAGGGGGA